GATCATTTTTAAATATATAAATTATAAATTATATATTTATTAAGATTATAAAAGTATTAATAAAAAATAGATTTGATATCATATAAAATATATATATTATATTAAAATTAACATTATAAAATGAGATTGATCAATTGTGTTGAAGTAAATAAAATAATAATAATAAATAGATTTAATTAAATTAAAAATTAATATTAAAATAAAATATCATTGAATAATAAATTATTACAACATATTATATTAATAAAAAAATAAATATAAAAATATATACTTGCCATTTGATTTATTTGAATCAATTAGGATTTAAATATCTCTACTTTCAATTAATTTTATTGGTGTTTTCTTTTCCATCATCAATATAATCTGATTCAGGATCAATTATGTCATTAAATAATTATATTCCCTTATTATTTACAAGTTACAAGAATCAAACCGTATTCTTCTCTATTTAATCTAATTATGATCATTATTAAACTAAATAACGATTGGATTTCTCACACTATCTATACATTATCGTGAAACATATAGAGAAAATAATAAATGTGCCAACTATTTTGTCGTTGTTGATCTTTGATTCTTTTAATTGTTTTATTATTGGTCTATTATATCATACTTTAATAGTGGTAATGGAGTCAAGAACAAGCTACGATTTATAATTTTAAAATAGTTTCACTAAGGGCGTGGTTTGGTCCCTCATTCTGTTTGTATTTTGTTTTGGTTATAAATTTTGGCGGTGCACTTATTGCTTGCTTACCACTATGCACTGCAATTATGTTTTACTCCCTCCTATCATTATTATAAATAGGCAACAAAAAAAAACCTTGGTCAATATTATTAATTAATGCTTTTATAACTACTATAAATTAATTTAAAAGCATTTAATGTGAGAGTTGTTGATTCTCAAGTATAACTAAAGAAAGTTATTATAATACATTTTATTTTAATTGTAAATAAAATTAAAAAAATTAATTAAATTTAATAACTTTTTTAATTAATATAAAATAATTATTTTTATTTATAATTATGACTAGAGGGAATACATCTAAGGGATATAAAAATTCATGACTTTTTGTGCTTGTTGGTTATTTTCCTTTATATATTTAAGTTCAAATTGATTTTATAAATATTTTAGTATGAAAAGTAATATTTTAAAATTAAATCACTCATTAAATTGAAAAAGATATTAAATCAATAATTTAATTAAGTAAATTAGTCTTTATAACAAAATTATATATTTATTAAATTAGTCGAATTGACTGATTTTTTCTTTAAAAAATATTATCACGTCTATAAAATTTTAATATTTTATAAATTTTTTCTTTAAATTTAAATTTTAAATATAATCATTCTACACCAACATATAGTATAAAGTATAAATTTAAATAAATTTTAAACAAATTTAATTGCAACATAAATTAAATAATAAAATAAAATATATAATAAATTTAATTTTAAAGAGGAAAAATTATTCTTAATAAATTTTAAACAAAAATACTTACCTTTTAATTTTATTTTTTAAAAAAAGATATCAAAATGACGTTTTGTCTTAAAAAAAAAGAAATAGACCGTCAATTTTTTAAAATTTTCGGTTTCCCATAATTTTTTAAAATTGACATTTCTCTAATTATATCTGATTCTGATCTGTTCACATCGATTCAATAATCTATTCATTTCAACAATGAGATTAATAATCTTTCTGATTTTTAATTTGACCGATTTTAAAACATGGATGAAAATTATATTTAAATTAGAAGAGTTTGTTTATTTCTTTATAAAATGGATAGCTCAATAATTATACATATTTTGTAGGGCTAAAAGTATAAAGTTAAAAAATCCATCTTCTTCTCATATGAACTAAATATACACATAATTAAAATTCCTCTTCTCTTTTTCCCTCCATCTTTTAAGTCAAATACATATATAATTAAAATATTTTCTATCCCCTCCAATATTGAACCAAGACACTAATAAAATTATCCACTTTAATATATGTTTTTTCCTTCATTTTTAATTTGCTTGTAAAACAATTGTATCTATCAGATGCAGTTTTTAACAGGAGTTTTCAATTTTACTTCTTATGGAGTAAAAATAAAAAGACACTTCTAGTGTGAAATGAAAAAAATAAATTCCAATAAACATTTCCAAATTTGAACCAATAAAGTAAGGTCTTACTGAAAATTCCTTGTTTCCTTCTCCTTATTATAAAAAATGAAAAAATAAGTAAAAGAGATTAGCACAAAATCTTTCCCCTCCCATTCATTTTCCTCCATCTAAACCTAGCCTTAAATAAATTACATTCACTAACACCATTGCTAAACTAGCTTAAAAAATAGCAAAAATTATTCATTTTGCAGGCTCACAGGCTCACAATTTTGCTGCAACTTCCCATTCTCCCATTGTTTAACAAGATCATTGTATCCTTTAGCATAATCAATAGCAAACGCTGCCATTGAGCTCATCGCGCTCGACATTCCACCGCAAAGTACCTTAACCGCAACCTCCACCACTTCTTCTTTTTCCACCTTAACAACTTCCACAATTTCCATATTTCCATTGGATCCTACTACTGCATTTTGTGCAGAAACTTCTTTTAGTTGTTGAGCATAGAAGGAACCTAAGCCGGCTGCGAAAAAGTCTAGACCCTCAAGCACCGCAGTTTCTTGTATCGTGTCTAGACGTCTTGACCACTGAACACAAAGTCCAAACAAAGGATGAGTGCAGCTAGACCTTCGAGGAGAGGATATTAATTTTGATGCATCGGGTTCGCATCTCATGCATCGGAGAAGCCAGCCGGTTATTGCGTGAATGTATGATCTCTGAGAGGTGATCCATGACTCGAAAGTGTTTCGCCAGTTCCTTAACTCGGTTTCAAGAATGGAGGCCGAGAGTGCAAGTTTTAGCGGATCGGTTATTGACACGGAGGAATGTTTTCTGGCAGCAAAGGTGTCTAGAATAATATTGACTTCTTCCATGGTTTGCTTCTGTGTCTGATGACATTCTGCCATCACTTTCCACATCTTTGCTAGCCTGTAGTTTGTATAAAATCATCGTGTACACATGAATCGTAAGATGAAGCATAACAAACACAAAATGAATGTGTAATTTACATACCCTTGCAACATTTTAAGAAGCTGGGGATGCAACTCTTCATCCCTTAAGGCTTCGATTCTCCGGGAAATAGCTTCAACTGAGTGTATTGAAACTGTTATCTGAGTGTGTAGATCTCTAATAGCTAATCTTGTTTTTTCCACAGAAGAAGGTTCCTCTCCTTTTATATCATGGTTCTTGAGTTGCAGACATTTCTTCTCATATGCAAGTCGAAAGCGCGTTCCAGACTGTTAAACAAGAAAGTGAGCATAACATTAAGATTCCGATTATTAACACTGTATAAACCATAAGCACAAAAATGACCTGTAACAATATTATTGTGATTTTAATATTTTACCCTAACTTCCTGGTAGAGCTTCTTCTCCCATGTATACAACCGGTCTAACGTTGATTGGTGACTGGAAGAAAACATACAACCTTCCCCTGACGAAGGATCATCAGTGCCATCATAATAAACTTCATTCCTAGAGTTTGAAAAATTCATTATACTTTTTGACGGGGACGAGCTAGAAGAAGCTGAGCGAAAAAGAGCTACAGGATTCAACAATTTTGATGCTGCAAAAGAAATATAATTTAAAATTATGTTCCTAAACTTACAAATAGATAGAGTGAAACAAAAATGATCGAGAAACGCAACATTATTTCAGTATATAATTCAAAGGTCATGTTTTTCTTCATGCATATGCATTTTCCGAATGAATGTTATTCTTGAAACTTGAGGCTTATAAGTTTCAACAAATCAAAAATATGAATTATACACTTTCACCAAACCTGACAGTTCATTATAAGTGGATAAGTGTTGAACTTTCTTAGCCTCTAAGAGTACTGAAACATCGTTGGCTGCATTACATACAACCACAAATTGAGCTTCAAGATCCTTGATCACTTCTGCCATATTCGCCGGTCTTCGATTTACATAAACAGTAAAACCTGGTGTTTCTTCCTTAGCTTCTTGATTATCAATTGCCATTTCTTGATGGCTAGATTCCATATGACCCGAAGTTTGAGCTTTTGAAGCTTGAAAACACTCGCCACCATTGACATGCACAGTTTCCATTTTAGCATCTGCTCCCTCCTTTTTCTCTTCCTCATGTTCACCAACATCTTCAACCACGACTTCTTTTGAGGAATTCACGCTGATTTCGTTTTTTTCTTCGGCTACATTTCTCTTAACAAAACCCTCTTTTTTGGTATCCTCTCCTTCCTGTTCCAGGTCCGGTATTCCTTCTTCTTCCCGAACTTTCCTCAGTTCTCGATTCTCAGCATCCGTAACAATCTCGTCAAGGCTACATCCATTAGGGTAACAGTAATAGTCCAACGACGTAAACGGATTCCAAAAGGAATCCCACTGAGAAGAAGACCGTGGTGGTGAAGTCGGATGGATAACAACAGGCCTGTTATTCGGAGAATAAGCGAAAATTGATGCATTCATAGACGCGGCCTGCATACCAAAAAAACCATCATTCCCATATTGGTACCTCGGAGGAGAATACGCCTCAACTCGACCTGTTTCCGGCGACATAGGCTTTTCTTCCACCGAAATCGCCGGATTACCACTCGACCTCGAGTAACTCACTTTCAAAGTTGTACTATTGGATCCAACCTCGATTGTTTCCTGAGCAGCTTCGTTCTTCACAGGCGGCGTCACGGTCGAATCCAATTCAAACTTTAGTCCTTCTTCTCCGACGAAATACTCAAGCAAAGCAGCAGATACCCTTTCGAGAGACCGAATATACGCAACATGTCCATTCGCAAACTGAGTTCTATGCTCAACAGCTTCTTTTATGAATCTCTTTCTATCTTTACAAATCTGAACAGCTTCTTCATCATCTAGCTTTGATTGAGAACATCCCATTTCTCACTTCACTTCAAATTCAAACCCTAATCTCAGCTTAGCATTTGAAATGAAAATCAAAGAACTCACTTCTATAAATCTTCACAAATCTGTTATCTGCATAAACAGAAACAGGAAATCTCAATAAAAATACCAAATTGGGGAAAAATCATGAAAAAGAAAATTAAACATTAACCCTAAACCCAAGTGAATAAAGTTGAATTCTTTTCTTAATTTTCAAGTAAGAATTGTAAAAAAAAAAAAAAAGAATAATTAAAAGCATAAACAATGAAAAGAAAGATAATCAAGAGTCACATTGTAGAAAATTGGAAGAGAAAAAGGTACTAGGGTTTGATTTGATTGAGATAAAGAGTGAAGTGAAGATTAGAACTGTACTTGCCTGAAGAAGGAGAGTGGGAAATTGGTGAAGCTTTGATCAGAGAGAAGGGAATGTGGAGAGACGTTGAAATGAAGTAACGGTCAAATATTTGAAGGAAATAGGGTTGGAACAATAAAACGACAATTGGTAGTAACAAAAACAAATGTACTCTTGAAGTGTTTTTTAACTGAAAAAAAACAAGGAATGTTGGAACAATAAAGAGGTAATTTATGTATCTTTTTTGGGACTTTTAATTTATAGCTGTTACTATTTAATTATATGGTCGGTTTTAAAAGAAGAATTAATTGGAGGGGAATTAATTTATGGAATTTTTTGAAAATAGTAAATAAATTATTTTATGTAAAAATTATGTAATTTGTTTGATATTGAAATAAAGTGTATTTTAGACAATTAATTTAAAAATATTTTTTTTGAAAATTTTATGTTTTTTAATAGAAGCTCTTTATAATTATGTTTCAATAAATTTTAAGATATTTTATAAAGACAGTTAAGTAAAATAAATAATTATTGATAAAAAATAAAATAATTAATTGTATTTTTTTTAGTTTATATATAAGGTTTAATGAAGATGCGTGTAAAATAATTTTACACTATCATCTAATAAGGATATATCAATCTCCTATGTCATATAATTAATTAAAAAATTTCAGTTTGATTTAGCGAGAAACATGACTGTCATTAATTGGGAGTGTAAATTTCTTTTTGACATGTCATTTTTGAGCTTATAGTTTATAGTTTATAAGCTTATATAATAATAAAAGAGCAGTTTTGATCTTACCGGATCAGAAATGGACCGTCACAACTGGCTCGGGCAGAAGTTGAATGAGATGGGGGATACCTGCAAGACACTCCGATGGCAAAGTAAGAAGCGGAATGAGCAAGCAAGTATAAGTTTAAAGATATGAATTGAATACCCGACCCTCTCGAAAGAGAGGGTATTTATAGCCTTCAGCGCTGGACCAAGGTCTCTTTATTGGGCTGATCAAACAGGCCCAACATAGAGACTGTCAGGTTCTACGTGTGTAGTGGGGACCCGCACGTGGTCCCTTACCTGGATGACGTCCTCCGCAAGACCGGGAGGATATGGACGCGATCTTTCCGGAACCACAAAGACTCCGCGAAATTCGAAGAGGTTGGAAGTCAGTCATATGAGGAAGGTGCTCGAGAGGAGCGCCTTCTCGTCAGACATGGTCTCTGCAAGCACCGACGGGAAACAGTCTTGGTCGACAAGGCCTCTGTGGTCGGGATGTGCTCGGGGAAAATACTGCTTAGCGCAGCAGGTTGGCATGCTTGGATTGGGCCTCACTGATAGTTAGGCCAAGGGCAGGCCCAGTCCAGAACAGGAGCCCCCCAAGTCGTTGCTCCTGGTGAAGGAGTTATGACTTGATTCAAGTTCGCCCCTTCGCAAGACTCGCTGCGCGACATGGAGTTTTTCTACCGCGAACAGAAGACATCACCTGGTTCATAATTTTGCTTCGTGTAGTGGTCGAAGGGTGTTCGAGGAATATTCACGGGGAGAGGATGATATGCTAGTCAGACACGTGGCGTGGCTCTTGGAAACCACAATGATGGCCTAGGGAGTAGGGGCCATCATTGTTTATGCGAGTAGGTGTCGAGGAGAAAGGCGGCTTGTGATTGCTCGACGCGACGTTTCACATTCCACGTCAGCTCTATAAATAGGGCTTCAGGGTCCATAACTTGTTTTCACATTTTCGCGCTCCCACATTTTCTTTGCCGTCAACACCGCGCGTTTTCCCAGAGTCATTGAAACCGCCGCACAGTCCGCCGCGTACCTATCTCAACAACCATCGTTCCTCATCTTTCCTCCAAGTAAGCGTTCTTTTTCTTTGATATCTTGTGTTGTAGATAGATTTTGGTGGTGTTTAGTGATAGGATTTCGTGTCTGAGGGTTATGCCCGGGGAATTCAAGCGTTTTAGGCGTCTGATTCATGACCATGCCCGTGGTGTTCATACGTTTAGGCATACAATTTATGATCATGCCCGTGATATTCATGCGTTTAGCTAACAAATTTATGAACTTGGTCGTGAGATTCATCCTTTTGTTAGTATATAGGCTGGTTTTCCCCGTGGCCTTCTTGTATCTGGCTAGCAATGTTATGAACTTGGTCGTGAAATTCATCCTTTGCTCCCGATATTCTTATTGTGCCTGTGATATTTATGATTGATATAGACGTTCGTCATTAAGATCGGTGTTTGATCGAGGTCCACGTGTTCCCCCTCTTTCGTGCGAATGGCCGTCAACTTGGTCTGAGTGTCGATTAACCTCCCCGTCTGTGTCGCGGAAAAGCGAATTTGCTATCGAATTCACCGGTTTCCTGTACTTTGCAGGTAAATGGCCGATACTCCCGAGTCCTCGGAGCACATTGACACCGAGGGAACCAGCACTGTCGAGGAAAGCATTAATCTGGTCGACACCATCGACGATCCTACTCTGGACTGGGTCGGTGCGGAACCCCGAGGGATAGCCTCGATCTATAGTTATACCGGCAGGAAAGCTTATACGATCGTCGAGTACGGCGACGGCCAGAAGGGGTTTCAGAGAAATTTTAAGATCATGAGGCTGACATAGGACGCTCGTATTTGCTCGGAGTTTACTCAGGACGCCTTCCCTATGTATGAGATCGTATTTAAAGATCTTGGGCTCCGGCTTCCTTTCAACGACTTCCAGATGGGAGTGTTCAATCACTTGAGCTTGGCTCCCTCTCAGATTCATCCCAACGCGATTGCCTTTATCCGGGCATTCGATTACATGTCGTTTCCTGAGGATCGGGAAAACGATTCCTCTGTTCTTTAGGGTTTTTCACCTACAACGGCAGTCCCGAGGAGGGAAGCATAGTTGGGTGTCCCTTAAGCAGTCGAAAAGGCTGTTTAGGATGTACATGGATTATGTTCGGGATTTCAAGGATAAATGGTATATTTTCCAACCATCTACCCAGACAGTCGTGGATTCGTTGTTCGAACCGGCTGTCATAGTGGACGAGGACGGGGAGCCGTGTTTGGACTCTGAGGGTAATCCTGAGATGGGGAGAGTCTCAAAGTTTCCCATTCACTAGTGCTCGGGCCATTACCACCATGGACCTGGATATTACCATACTCCCGCCGACAGTATGAGCGCCAAGGACGAGGAGGCATATGGCGTCCTGAATAAATTTGTCGACAGTTTCTTCCCCGCTCGGTGGGTTACGAGGGAAGGGAACGACATTCTTGATGAGGATGGCGAGCCAACGCTCGAGGCACGTCCAATCAACACCAAGGCGCTCGTCGAGTGTCAGTCTTACAGGTAGGCCGTAGACCTCTTAGGTTTCTTGCTTACTCTATTGATAGCCTTCTTTTTTTTGTTTCTTCGACGTGGCTAACCCAAGCACATTTTCTTTTCAGGTCACATGGTAGAACGTCGAGAGAGATTGCTGAAGCTGACCCAAGATAAGAAGATCAATAAGAGGTTGGTGAAGCCGTAATAAGCTACGCATATGGGTCCGACCCCCGAGTCGGCCAGTGAAGGATCTAATGGGTCCTCGGGTTCTCATGACATCGAACGCCAACCTGCGTTGCTGAGCAAAAAATGGAGTCGACCAGAAGGTGGAGTCGAGGTGACTAATGGAGGGGAGGGTGCCCAGGCCTTCAACCTGCCACCTTGTTTTGTGGAAAAAGACTTATTTAAGGGGTTTCCCTTGGCTGTATCCGACAACGAGGCCGATATCATCAGACGGCTCGACAAGGAAGGTCGGAGGAAGCACCTTGTTGCCAGCATGATCGGGGTGGTAAAGATGGATGAGATGGAGGTTGTCCTTGCGGGTGAAGGGTCAGACTCCTAGGATCGGGTCAAGGAGCTAGAGTCGGAGAAGGTGGCTCTCGTGGAAAAAACCCGCAAACTGAAGATTGCTCTTGAACAATCCGAGGAGATGTTTCGAGAGCAGTCTGATGTGTTGTCAGGGGAGAAGGAGAGGGCCACAGAGCCCTCGAAGACAAATAATGCCTCCAGCTTAATAAGGAGCGGTTGGAGAGAGACAACCAACGACTGTTAAGAGAGGTTGAAGATCTGAGGGTCGCTATGCTGCCCGCAGAGAGTGAGTCTGAAGGGGTGGCCGACTTGCACACGCGTGCTGAATTCATCCCTCAAATTCAACTTCTGGAGTCAGACTGTGTTGATGCTTTGGCCGACGGCTTTAAGTCCGCTGTGAATCAACTGTCCATGCTGAACCCGGGGTTGAATACTGAAGGGACTGGGGTTCTGTCCCAGGTTGTTGATGGTCGGGTGATCCCTCCTCCCGACTCTCCTGATGTCGAAGTAGGCACTCTGGGGAGTGATTAATGTTTTTATTTGTCTGTATTTGGGCCTGCGTGTCTGCTGTTATTTTAGGGTCTGCGTGCCTGCTATCATTCTTTTAATTTTATGGCCGTCGTGCCTAAATTGTAATTTTGGACAACGTCGGCCCTTGTGGTCGGCATATTATAATTACTTTGTTTATAACTATCTATTTGATGAATGCTTTGTTTATAGTAGTTGTTTGATGAATAACAATATTTGATGTATGTGCCCGACCATTGTTGTGGTCGTTATGAATTTTTCACGAATTTTGTGTTCGTGCGGAGATACCCGTTCGACCATAATGTCAGTTCAACACACTTCGAAATGTGTCAAGGGCGCGGAGTAGGGATCCACGGGACGGGCGTATGATCGCGATCGGGATCCTACGCTCGTGGCGTGAACTTCCCATCGCGAGCGGGGTGTTATGCTGTGATACGGTGGGATGAACTGACTGTTTTTTGGAATGCTGGTTTGCGTTTTGCGTTTGTGTTTGCAAAATGTCGCGGTAATCAAGAGTCGCCACCGACTTTTATTTTATCTAACAAGGAAAGGAGAAAAGCACAGAAAAATTCCTTTTTCGAGATATTTCTCGGGTTTGAGGGGTAGATTATAGAAAGGGAAGGTGTTAGCACCCTTTCTATCTGTGGTTATCCACGGGCTCTTAGGTACTTGCTCAATTGTTTTCAAAATATTGCTTTCTTTGTGCTTGTGGGTTTTGAAAAAGTTTTTATTTGAAAACTTTGATTTAACTCTTGCTTCTGTCCTCAAGAGTGTAATGAAGTGTTTTTGAAAACTTTGTTCGAAAAGTGTAAGTGTGAAAAGTTTTTGTTTTTTGA